TACCAACTGAGCAATCTCCCCGGACTCCCTAATGTGATATTGTGATCTGATGCACTCTTCTGGTCTACACACACACACACACACACACACACACACACACACACACACTCACACACTCACACACACACTCACACTCAAGAACACATTAAGATGATCATACACCATTCTCAAGTTGGTTTCATTCTAGGGATGCAAGGAAGGTTCAACATGTGTAAATTAATCCATGTAATACAACACAGTCATGCTTAAAGTCTTTACCCGTACAAATAAAAATTAAAAAGGATACAAATAGAACAAAAAGAAATCAATGTATCCCCTATTTACAGATAACATGACCTTATACTTAAAGTTCTTAAGACCCTACCAGAAAATTCACAGATATAATACAAAATTTTAGTGAAGTAGCAGGACACAAAATTGAAAAAGAAAAATATCCCCATAGGTTCATGTGTTCGAACACTTGATCCCTATATGGCACTGTTTAGAGAACCTTTGTTGGAGGAAGTATGTTACTGGGGCAGGTTTTGTCTCACTTCCAAGTTCATTCTTTCTGCTTCCTGTGTATGGTTTCCAGCTTCCTGATCTGCTGCCTTGCCTCCCGAACATGATGGACTCTAACACTCTGGAACCATAAACTAAAATAAACCTCCTTCCTTAAGTTGCTTTCAGTCATGGTCATTTTGTCACAAGAGAAAAGTAACTAATGCAAATGCTAAAGATCTCTTCAATAAAACAGAAGAAGAAGAAAGTAAAGAAGATTCTAGAAGATGGAAAAGTCTTCCATGGTCATGGATCAGAAGCAATATTGTGAAATGGCTATCTATGTTTCCCAAAGTTATCTATAGATTCAACACAATCTGCATCAAAATTCCAATAGCATTCTTTAAAGAACCAGAGAAAACAACTCTGGAATTCATATGGAAGCACAAAAGACCCAGAATGGCCAAAGCAACCTTTGTTTGTTTGAGATAGGGTCTTATTACAAAGCTTTGGCTGGACTGCAATTCACTATGTAGATCAGGCTAGCCTCTGCCTCCTGAGTAGTGGGATCAAAGGAATACAGCACCATGACTAGCATCCAAAACAATCCTAAGCAGAAAGAGCAATACTGGAAATACCACAATATTTGATCTCAAATTATACTCTGTATCCAGAGTAACAAATACAGAAAGACACTGGTATAAGGACAGATATGTAGATCAATGGGGTAGAACAGAGGAGTCAGAGATAAACCCACACAGCTACAGCCACATAATTTCACACAAGACTGTCAAAAACATACATTAGAAAAAAGAAAAGTGAAAATCCAACTGTAAAATGAATTTACACACTTGTCTCACTCTGCACAAAAATCAACTCAAATGGACCAAAGACCTGAAACTAAAAGTTCTAGAGGAAAACACAGGCAATGATTTCCAAAACAGGGTTCCAACAGCATAGGAAAACAGTAGTTGAGAGACAGAGTGAGATTAAAATCTTTGCCAAATATATTCAGATAGAGGACTAATATTGGAGGTATAAAGGACTACAAAAATTAAACATGAAAGGGATGGGATGAACCGGGTGGTGGTGATACACACCTTTAACCCTAGGTCTAGCGAGGCAGAGGCAGGGGGGGCTCTGAGTTCATGGCCAGACTGGGCTACAGAGCAAGCTCTAGGACAGCCAGGGCTACACAAAGAACCCCTATCTCAAAAAAAAAAAAAACAAAAACAAAAAACAAACAAACAAACAAACAAACAAAAAAAACCAACCAACCAACCAAAAAACAAAAATTAAAAGAAGAAAGGGATGGGATGTAGCTCAGTTGTCTGGTTAAAGTTGGATTTGTATTACCAGTATTTGGAAGAAGAGGACCAGAAGTTCAAGGCTATCACTGGCTACATAGCAAGTTCAAGGCCAGCTTGGACTACATGAGACTGGCTCAACAACAACCAAATGAAGCACATCGCCAAAAACCCAAATCATACATACTACCAATAAATAGGCTACAGAATTGGACAGGATGAAATACAAATGAAATACAAATGTCCAAAATTGCCCTGACTTGCAGGGAGTAACACAAGCTCACACCCCAATGTGCTATAGTCACCAAAGGAAGGGTCAGGGGGAATAAAGAACGACAGCAAGACAGTTTTCTGATCAAGCTGCAAATTTTTATTTTTCACATGGACCTTATATAGGGGTGCCAAGTGGGGAGCTTGGCAGGCAGGGAGAGATCGTTTGAGGCTACTTGCCTGATAACCAGGTTAAAGAATGTCCCTGTGTGTGAGTCCTTGAGAGTGCAGGAGGTTTCCAAGGTCACAGGGTGCAGGTGTTAGATAGTGGGTTAGAAAGGGGGAAAGGGTTGCTAGGTAACCTGACCATGAAATGTATCTTTCCTTCTATAAGCTACTTCATGAGCCCAGACGTTATATATCAGGTAAGAAAGGACTGAAGGCAGCTATTCTTCTAATAATAGTGTGTTTATACTGGCAGCTTCTGTCCAAGTCTCTTTCAGGTCCAAGGTTACTTTTGCCATGGCCCCCAACACAAAATATACTTTAAAAAGTAGTAAATGTTATTAGTCATCAATAAAACAAATAAAAAAACAAAACAAAAACCTTCAAATTAAAACTGCCTTAAGATTCTGTATCACCCAGTCAGAACGGCTATCATCAAGAAAACAAATTAAATTTGTAGGTTCTAGTACAGCCTGATCTGCACATCCAGTTCTAGGCCAGCCAAGGCTACATAGTGAAGTTCCTGTCTAAAAAGGAAAGAAAACAAATGACAACAAAGACTGAAAATATCAGGAAAAAAACCACCCCACACTATTGATGGAAATGTAAACTGGTAATCACTATGGAAACTAATGTGGACGTCCCTTAGAAAACTGCTCCATGACCTGCTGTACTATTTGAGTATACCCAAAGCATTCTAAGTCCACATACCACATAGACACATTCACACCCATGCTTACAACAGCATTGTTCATAACAACTAAAAAATAGAAATAGCTCAGATGTCTATTAATGGATGAGTGGATAAAATATGTAGTATATAAGCACAATGGAATTTTAAAGATTTTATTGTATGCACATAGGTGTTTTGCTTGCATGTATGTTTGTATACTACATGGAAGCCTGAAGAGTTACATGAACAATTGTGAGCTGTCATGTGGGTACTGGGAACTGGACTCCAGTCCTCTGCAAGAGGTGCTAGTGCTTTTAACTGCTAAGCCATTTCTCCAATGGAATTTCACTCGGCTATACAGAAAAATGAAACTGTGACATTTGCAGGAAAATGGATACAACTGTAGATTATGCTAAACGGAAAAATGTAGGCAAATACCATATTTTTGTTCAGTATGCAGAATCTAGATTTATAGTAATATGTATTTATATATGTGGAGCATAAGAGAGCTTATGGAAGGGGAACAAAGAGAGGATGATGGAATCCATGTGATATGAAAGCAGAGGGGCGATTCAGGGAAGATGGCTAGCAAGCAGAAAGTGGGGGAGGAAGAAGGCAGTGGGGGAGGAAGAAGAAACAAAATAAAGTCCAATGATGAACAGGTATGAAAATACCACAATGAAACCTCTTAATTTGTATGCTAAGGTGAAGCAATTTATTTTTAAAAAGAAATTAAAAGTTGAAAATTACCAAATGTGCTATAAAGCAATGAAAGTCTGAGAAAAACAGCAAAAGGAATATGCTAGCTTGATGGCAAGCAGAATCTAAAAGATGGGGAGACTACTCACCTTTGCCAGAAAGGTAAGAGGGCCATCAGCCAGAATAATCAGAACATAAAGAAGCATATGCTTTCTTCTTGGTGTATGTGTGTGTTGAGACAGGGTCTCATTATGTAGCCCTGGCTGACCTAGAACCTGTTATGCAGACCAAGCTGGCTTGGAACTCACAGAGATCTGCCTCCCAGGCATTAGAATTACAGGCAAGTACCACTATGCCCAGTTGCTTTCATCTTTTGATTGAGCTAAGAGCAATGGACCAAGAGATGGAGAAAGGTTCCTTGGAGGGACACAGGCTAATGGTTGAATATTGGTGAGCCCAGTCTAGTTTATCTTCCATCCAATCTGAACAAGCAAGCCTCACAGAGCTATCACATGGCTTGGCAGGCAGGCTAACTTTAACCCAGTGACACACACTGCTAACTCATAGTTTTCTTTGTTAATTTCAGTAATTGAGTTCTCAGTGTAATTAAAAATGACATCTCTACATTTAAGATGACTCAGTAGGTTAAAATGTATTTGTCAACAAGCCTGATGACCTGAGTTCTATTCCCAGGACCCACAGAATGGGAGGAGAGAACTAACTCCACATTTGAGCCTTTGGACACAGACACACAGACACACTGACACACACACACACACATACACACACACACACACACACACACACACACACACACACACACACACACAAAGTAAATAAATAATTTTAAAAACTGTTTTGGGGCTGGAGAGATGGTTCAGTGATTAAGAGCACTGACTACTCTTCTAGAGGACTTTGGTTTGAAACTTAGCACCCAATGGAGACTCACGAACCTTTCTAAGTCTGGTTCCAGGGGATCCAATGCCCTCTCTGGCCTCTGCGGTCACTGAGCACACATGGTGTACAGATATACATTTAGGCAAAACACCTATACACACAAAATAAATAAATAGCTAAAATTAAAAAAAAGAACTGATCATACTATCTTATATCCATTATTTATAAATGTAAATGATGATGTGTCTTTTAGTTGCTTTGGGAATAGGGGAAATTAGTCCCTGATAAAATACACAATAGAACCATACAAATTTGTATATCTCTTAACAATTAGCTCCGATAACTCAAATGTAAGCAATATGGTAATTACTACTTGTCATCTTCACATACAAACAAGAATATATAAGCTACCTGAAACAATATATACAATCTTGTAAAAATCCTATTTATCTTTTTCTATGGCTATAATCATATAGTGCTTTTAGAAGTAAAAAATAGTAGTCTAGAAATAGTTCTAAGTAGTAACAGTGAATTTTATTTTCAAATTTTGATCAAGGAAAAAAAAATAAAATAGACAAAAAAATACCTAAGCCTGGAGAGTCATGTATACATGACATAAACAGTATTCCAGGAGAATCATGTACACACAGACAGTACTCCAGGAGAATCACGTACACACAGAAGACATGAACAGTATTCCAGGAGAGTCATGTATACACAGAAAACATGAGCAGTATTGACTTGTTTTAGTTGAGTCCATCCTATTTACACATTTAAAATATAAAACAAATTTCAATTTGTGAAGAAGCTGACTGTATTTAGCACCAGAAAGGAACTGTACTTTAGCTTCAAATCAAGACTTCAACATCCTGAACCAGAAGAGAAAGTCCATGAAATCCAGATGTACTATTGCAATTCCTGCATCTCCAACTGAACCAAGGAGCTACTTGATGCTTCGGACTACTCTCCTGCAGTGGTTTGTTTTCATTTCCTCCAACGCTTGCTCCAGCTGCTGAACCAAATGAAGCAGGGTAGCTGGGTCTGTCTGCAAAAAATGGGTACTGTGGTCGCCATTCTTGTTGAGGTTCAGCTTTACAGTCACTGCTGGTTTAATCTGTTGCCGGAGACTTCTGCTTGCAAGCTTGGAAACACAAAAAGAACACAATAACTATTTCATATTTATGCTGCATTGATAACTTTTAAAATTATACCACACCATATAAAAATATAATTTGAGATGAATCACAAATTTTGAAAAAATAAAGTATACTTTAAAAACCTTTGGAAAGAAAAAACCTGAGACTGTAAATGAAACTTTATGGTATGAAAAGATTCCTTAAACAGGATCAAAAGGCACACATCCCAAGTTCAAAGTCAGACTGGTCAACAGAGTGAACTCCAGAACAGCTGGGCTACACAGAGAACATGCCCCCTGCCGCCCCCCCAGGAAAACAAATAAACAAATACACTTCAATTAAAAGGTAAGAAAATAAAGAGGTAATAGTAAGACAAAAATGGCATATCATATAGAAAGGGGAAAGTGATTATGAAAGTCTAGATTCTTTATACTTCTAAATTCCCATTTTGTTCTGATCCATCCAAGGATATCTGTTGTGTGATGTCCTTCTTTAGTCTGTGAATATGTGTTGCTTTTATTGGTTGATAAATAAAGCTGCTTTGGCCTATGGCAGGACAGAATATAGCTAGGCAGGAAATCCAAACAGAGATAGGAAGAAAAAGGAGGAGGAGTCAGGGAGACACCATGTAGCCACCAGAGAGGGACTGAGACTAGACAGAAAAAAAATCTGTCTACAGATACCAAATTAATTTTTTTAAACAACTACTTCAATGTTACATGTTTATCAAAGAATCTACATGGGCTTCCTAGTGTCTGCTATGTTACATTTAAACTCTTACCAAATTTCTGTAACCCATTTTGACTACTTACAGCCTACAGATGAGTGTCACTTCAATTGCTGCATATGTACACACCTAAAAATGAGCTAAATGAAAAATCGTGTCATATCTTAGGATGATGGTTATATTTGGAAAGGAGGGAAGGAGCAATTACTGTTGGGATGTAAAGATGTCTCTGGGTTGCTAGTCATGGTCACATCCATTTTATGACTATGTGACTGTGGGATAATTTACTGAGTACAGTGACCTGTACTTTCCTTTGGGTGTGTTCTGTTTACAGAGAAATGACACTTTAAAAATACTAAGCATTGCCAAAAAAGCAAAACACAGTTTTTAAATCACCCCCCCCCACATAAATTTGTTTCTTAAAAGTCTCTGGAAATTAGGGCCTTTGGGATGGTTCAATGGGTTAAGGCACCTGCTAGTATGCCTGACAACCTGAGTTCAATCCCTCAGCACAAACTTCCAAAAGCTATCCTTTGAGCTCAACACAAGTGCTGTGTTAAAACCTTTGCAAATTAAACTCAGTAAATTATATTAGAAATAAAAGGAAATAAGCAATTTGTGAAATGACCCAAAATGACCATTAGAATATACACATTTTTTTCAAACCAGAGCTTGGTTAAGCTAGTAAGTAACAGAGCATATAAATAATTCTTACAGTCTATGTCAGATTAAAAAAGAAATAAAGGCCATACTTGTATATCTAGGCGCCATTCAAGACTATGGTAACTGGGAAGTCGAGGTGCCAACTCATTCAGAATAGTTCTGATCTCCTTTCTGTTGTCCAGGTAAAGCTGAAGCAGTAATTTATTCAGTTCTTCAGAGAATCCCAGAACAAAAACAGAGTCTTGGAAATCAAGTTCAGAAATCTAAAGATAAATTGAGTTCAACAGAACACTGGAGTTTATCTTTATCTAGTAAATGCTAAAACACTTCCAAACACAAAAGTACATTATATCCTATAATTCACTTCTGTCTGTAACATTCCCTACGGTTAAAGACAGTTATTGCCCAGCATTCCAAAATCCAAGTTACTAACATACAAAATAACCTTATTAAAATACAAAAAGAATTAAGACACCCAATTTTATTTACTATTTTCCCATTGAGCCAGATACTGACTGCTGATCCATAAAGAAATGCAATATTTCATTCTCCCCTATCCTAGGATACACATAATATGACACATGATACAGAATTAGAGACAATTACAATTTATACTAACAAGAGGTAACCACATTAGAGAATGCCCTAACACTTACCCTTTAGGTATACCGCACAAATTCCATTATAGTTACTAACTTGTAACAGGTGCCTGTCTGAAAGAACTTAGTTAATACAATACAGTCCTCAGAAGCCTTACCATGAGCTTGGAGCTCTCAGTGAGGAGATATGTTAATCCTTCCACACCATGCTGGATAGTGTCACTGCTCACATTGAGTTTTCCTAAGGAAAAAGAAAGAAAGAAAGAAAGAAAGGTGAACAGATTATCCTTTTGTTTAAAAATAAGCAAGTTCAATTACCCTGTTCTCAAACAGTACAATGAAAGTGAGTTAAGCAGAGATTCCCGTTCCTTCTCAACCCACCCCACTAACAGACGCCTTCAGTATTTCTTAACAACCAACCATAACAAAACACAGATCTGTGAACAAAGCCACAAAGCCCCTTCAAGTCATGCAGAAGAGGAACTCAATAGGGATGTTCTTAATCACACCATCGTCCTCTTACAGCTTCAGTAAAAACAGCTTCCGGGCAGCAAATACTAAGTCAACACTTGAATGATGTTCTCGGCTAATCTAACAGTTCCACTTCTTGAGCGTGCAGTAATTACTAAGCACCATAGTGTTTCTGAAAGGAAAGTGGAACTATATTCATTTTAAATATGAGGGCACTTATTTCATGCAAGCTTTAAAATCTCAGTCACTTGCAGAGTTGGCGCCCTGATTGACAGCTATGCGGCTTTTTAATGGGCTGCAATGGGTACAAGACCCTAGGACTTGCAAAGGTCCCTGCTGGACTAAGTGAAAGAACGTATAGCACTTTCCACCTCAACAGGCAGAGCCTATCTCCTCCCCTTCTTACTGGCGGCGCCTTCGTAGATCTTCGGGTTAGATCCGCGTCTGAGGAACTCCACCGCGATCCTCCCGAACTCGGCGACCACTGCAACGGAAGTGAGCAGGCCTTGAGCGCGGGTCTGTCCCGTGGGATGTCCCTGCCGCAAACACCCCGCATTCCCTTACCTGCGATGTCCACTTGCGGTAAGAACGCCAGGTGCTCCTTATGCTCCTCAGACAAGTCGAGCAGCATCTTAGCAGCCCTAACGACCTCGCCCTGCAGCGCTGGCCCCGCCCTCACCACTTCCTGACTCTGTGCAGGCAAAAAGAAACTCCGGCGCCGCTGCACTGCCTATGCTTTGGGTTCCGGTCTCTGGCGGTCCCACGAGCACTAAACAGCATACCTCACACCTAAGAGCGGAGCTCACACCATAGAAATGGAGAGGGCAGTAGGACGCCGGTAAGAGGAATTGAAGGCACGACTTTCTCATTCATAAATCATCCTGCAAACGTGTAATATGTGGGGCTGGAGAGATGGTTCAATGGCTAAGAACCCTTCTTGCTCTTACAGAGGACTCTGGTTCAGTTCCTCGTGTCTCACAGCAATCACTAACTCTAGTTGTGAGGGATCCAACACTCTCTTGTGAACTCCGTGAGCACCAGGCATATAGTTGTACACACACACACACACACACACACACACACACACACACACACGCAAGACACTTAGACACGCAAAATAAAATTTTCAAAAGTGCAATATGTGCTTACCCTGTGCACAGCTCTAGGCTCTATGGCATCAACCTACTTGTGGGACATAGGTTAGTAATATCAATAACCAACATTTGTTAATCGGCGTTGGGAATGTTTTTTTGCTGAACTCACATTTCGTAAGAAACTTGTTATGTATGCCCATTACTACTTTCATTAAATACAAGGAAACAATGATGTGAAGCAATGGAGACTTTTCATTTGCACACAATTTACGTATGTTGTTTATCTATTTAGTAGTTTCAATAGCTATGGTCTCTTTTTTTTTTTTTAAATGAACAAGCCAAAGTCAGAAGACTATATGTCAAAGTTTGAAGGAGATTGTTAGAGGCCTCACCTGTCTTCTCTGAGCAACTCTTCTGCACACTGGACTGATGTTTAAAATTTGTAACATTTACTATAGAAGTTAATATAATTACAATGTATATATAACAATTATTATTATGACGTGTGTGGATATGACATATGTGAGTCCAGGTGTGTGAAGGTCAGAGGACAACCTTTTGCAATAGTGTATCTTATTCCATTGTGTATCACAAGATGGAACTCGGGTCATCAGGCTTGCCATCTCTCTGGCAACTTTGATTGTTTGACATGTTTTGGTGGCTTCTGAGGATTAAACCCAGGGCTTCCTTCATGCTAAATATTTACTCTACCACTAATTATACCTTCAGCCCTGTACAAAGCTTTATGCGTGGATCTAAATTATAATGAAGATGATAATAATGATGACAGTAATAGATGTTTACACAATTCAGAGCAATGCCATTATTTTTTCTTTTGAGGATGTGTGAGAATTTGGTCACCTCTTTTGCTTTGGTTCATATATAAGAGACTATAGAATGACAATTGATAGTGACTCTCCAAATCTTTCTCCTACAGTAGGAGGAAAGAGGAGAGAGAAAGAAAGGAAAGGAGAGAAAGAAATGGGGGTGGGGGGGAGAATTCATTACTATCTTTTTATCTAGGAGTCTAGGGATTTAATCCAGGACCTCTTAAATGCTCTTCTTCATCCTCAACTAGAGACAGCCTTTTGTATAATCTGCCATGCAGACAGAAGTGGGAATCAGTTTTTAGATCTTCTCTGTTTCTACCATATCCTTCACATTTAATTACAACTGTTTGCTTCACTGATGTCTCTTTGAGAGACATATGAGGAGGACCCATGCTCTTTGGTGATCAAATGTTAACTGGCAAAGTACTGTTAAAACCATGATTACTATTAATGATAAAAATTTTAAATGCTTGTAAAAAAGTCTTTTGGTGTTTGTTGTTCACTTATAAGCAGAAACGGCATGAAATGGGAAGTTTGACTTCCTAGCTGGCAGCTGCTAGTTTATCCCTTTGTGTTTTTATGCCTTGAACAAGAGGACTGCCAGTCAACAGCCAGATGTACTATCCTTGCGCAATCACTGGCTTCTGTGCTCACTCTACAGACACCTCGAGGGAACCACACGGTGAGCACAGGTGTTAGTGTTGGTTCTGAAAGTGCAGCCCTGACTAGGGTGGTTTTAAACACTTTGTGTAAGACTTTGTGTTACCACAGTCTTTGTGAACATTTCTACTTAGGTCAGAAAGGGAGCACATCCTCTGGTGGCCCAGCCAAAGGACTGCTATGTTTGTACAAAAGCGAAGATGCTGGGTCAACATACCTTCATTTATGTGTGAAGTTGGGCTGTGATTAGAGCAAACACCAGTTCTTTGGGTTTGGAAGCTGGCTGCTCAGTTGGTGAGCTGGCAGGGATTGATCCCCCTGCACTGCACCCCTTGATGCTGCAACTTCAGACCCAACAAAAGGCTTCCCTCCAATGGTGGTTTCTTGCCTACAGTGAAGCAGCAGCAATGGTAAAACCAACAAGATAGCAACAATGAAAACAGCTGAGTAGCCAGCATGCCAAGCCACAGAAGTGACAGAGCAGTCTGATGCTTGACAGTTGAAAAGGCAGAGCTGAGAGGCAAGAATGGTAAAATGGCTGGTTTCCTCTCCTCCTTCCTTCTTTTAATGGCTGGTTCCTTAGCAACTGAAGAAGGATAAATGATTGTAAAGAACCAAACAGGGGCTGAGTGAGATGGTTTAGTAGGTAAAAGGTGCTTGCTACAAAGACTGAAGACCAGAGTTCAATTCCTGTGACCCACATGACCCCTATAAGTTGTTACCTGACTTCCCAAAGCATATCGTGACACATGTGTTTGCATATACATACACACTTCCCTCTCTCCCCAACTTTCTCTTCCTCCCTCTCTCCTAATGTAATAACAATTATTTTTTATTATAGACCTCGGTTGCTGGAAGAATTAATGAGTTCTAAGGAGCCAGTGGTCTTCCAGGAGCTACAAAATTGGCAGTCACGAAAGGGTGGGGAATCAGACTCCTGGCACTTAGAGTCTTCAGTGCTGGCTACTGCCCAAGGCTAAGGAATCTTGATTTTCTAGGCCTGTAATCCTTGTAGCGCCAAGGATCCTGGTACTGCAGACCTACTCAAGAGCTGTGGAAGTTGTAGGAGTAAGGATTCCACTACCCAGTGTTAAATTTCTGAGGCAGTTTAGAGAGACAGGAGGCAGGAAAGAGACCAGTGTGACCTCAACAGAGGGAACTGTTTATTTCAGTGAGTGGCAGGCACAGTAAGGAAGTGGTGTCTTCAAAAAGAGGAAGGAGATTCTTGGGGTTTATATAGGAGGTTTGGGGAATGCAACTGCTGAGGCTACATACAAGCCTGTAGTTTCTCCCTCTTGGAATTGTTTATCCAGACAAGCCTGGTTTTATCTTTAGAAGCTGCTTTGCATAGCCTATCAGGATATAGGGTCATAGTGGAAAATTGAGGACTGGAGGGTTTTTGTTTTGCGGGTTTTTTGTTTTTTTTTTGAGATAGGCTTTCTCTGCATAGCCTTGGCTATCCTGGAACTTGCTCTGTAGAAAGACTGGCCTCTGCCTCCTGAGTGCTGGGATCAAAGGTGTGCTCCACCATGCCTGACAACAGACTGGAGTCTAAACATGGGGGCAGGGAATTTCAGTGAGCTTTAAGGGAGAAAAGCTCCTTAGTCAGAGTCTTGCAGAGTTTGTTTAAGGTTTATCCCAACATCTAAGGGTTGCCTAAGGATCACAACACTGGCAGGGTTAAGAGTCTTGCTGCCAGAGACCTACACAAGAGCTGTACCAATGGAGGATACCTGAAGCAAGTCTTTCTTTGTACCACCAGCCAGCTCCCAATAATGACACCCAGACTTCTTATTTATTTTGAAAGCTCAGCCTTAGCTTATGTTTGTCCCACTAGCTCTTATAACTTAAATTAACCCATTTATATTAATCTCCATCTTGCCCCATGGCTTTTTTACCTTTCTTTCATTCTGTATGTCCGACTCCCTCCATGTCTGCTACTGTCTGCTACTGGACCCAGCTGCTGTCAAGGGTTACAGACCTCACAAAGGCTAGCACTGGAACAACTGTTTCTTGCCCACCTGTGATTTCTGAGTAGGGCAAAAGGACTCTGGCCAGCTGCTTGGAAACACTTGAACTTGTTTTCTAGGCCTTGAAGCGAGTGTTAGGGAAACGTGTAAAATGAGAGCTCTTTTCTGTTGCCAGTGAAGTGTGAAATTGCAAAGGTACCCTAAGAACTCTTATACAATTTCTTATAATGATAATTTTGTACTCACCTTATCATCAAATAATTCTGTTCCTAGGTGTATACTTAAATGAAAACAGATATCCAGAAAACACTTGGATGATAGTGTCCATAAATGCTTTATACACAATATCTAAGAAACGGAGACAGTCTAAATCTCTATGTGTTTCAATAGATAATATGATACATCCATTCACAGAACCCTAACTACTCAGGAAGTAATTTTTAAAAACCCTAGTATTGGATGGAATGTGGCAGCTCATGCCCGAAATTCCTAGCACTTGGGAGGCTGAGGCAGGAGGATTGCCACAGGTTTTAGACTAACTTGAAGTACAAAATTAGTTCTAGGCCAGTCAAAACTACATATTACATTATGTCTCACAAAACCAAACTAAGCCCAAACAAAAAGGGCAATGTAAATTAGTCATAAAACATCAGAGCCCACATGAACAGTAGTGTTTCAATGTTTTTCAGTTATAAATTAATCAGAAAATATCAAAGCCCATGTGAACAGTAGTGTTCCAATGGTTTATTTGTTTGTTTGTTTTGTTTTTTGAGACAGTGTTTCTCTGTATTGTTTTGGAGCCTGTCCTGGAACTCTGTAGACCAGGCTGGCTTTAAACTCACAGATCCGCCTGCCTCTGCCTCCTGAGTGCTGGGATTAAAGGTGTGCACCCGTGCTTTTCAAATCTTCTTCCTATAACTTGGTGTTAGCGCAGCACTGTCTTTTAATGGTTGAGATTTGTTCAGCAGCTTGAAGAAACTTCCTGGGGTAACAAAATTGTTCTACAAGTTTACTGGGGTACTGTTCACACAGACACAGGATTGATGTCTTTGGATTTCATTGTATGTAAGCTTCACTTAAGTTTGGAAACACAACAGCAAGAAGTTAAAAATTATGTCTGAACCTAGGAGCTCTGGATAACTCTCCTTGTTACACAGAATTTTATTTAAAAGTTATCTTACTATTTCTTCATTTATATGACTTTTAAACTCCAGAGCACTAACACAAAACCAAAAGGGGAAAAAAGGTTTTAAAAAAATACAATAAAAATTATAGCTCCCATTCCAATAGCTTCCTTCGTTTCCCAACCCCACGGGCATCTTGTGGTGTCAGCTTTTGTTTGTTTGTTTTCTTGTGAGTTCTTTCTGAGACTCAGGTGGGCTTCTTAAAATTTAGCATCAGAACAGCACTGTTCTTTAAGGGTTTATGTGCCATTTGGACGTCTGTATCCCTGATGGTTAACCTTGGATATCCACTTGACTGGATCTGAAACTGACTAAGAGATAAGCCCCCCAAACTGTGAAGGGTTATCTAGACAAAGGCTAGCCCCTGAGAATGTATGTGAGGGGTTATCTGGATAAAGGTGAGCCCCTGATGTGTGTGAGGGTTTTCTTGATTGAGTTATTTAAAAATGCAAAGATCCATCTCAAATGGCATCTTCTTCTTCTTTTTTTTTTTCCAGACAGGGTTTCTCTGTGGCTTTGGAGGCTGTCTGTCTTGGAACTAGCTGTTGTAGACCAGGCTGGTCTCGAACTCACAGAGATCCGCCTGCCTCTGCCTCCCGAGTGCTGGGACTAAAGGCGCGCGCCACCAACGCCTGGCTTCAAATGGCATCTTCTAATAGCAGCTGTTTTCACTGCTCTATTACTGTGAAGAGACACCATGACCAAAGCAACTCTTATGAAAGAAAACATTCAGTTGGGTTTTGGATTACAGTTTCAGAAGTTTAGTCCATTAATATCATGATGGGGAACATGGCAGCATGCAGACAGGTGCTAGAGTAGTAGCTGAGGGCTACCTCCTGATCCATAGGCAGAGAGAGACCGGGCCTGGCATAGGCTTTTGGAACTGCAAAACGTCACCAGTGAAAACACTTCCTCAAAAAACCCCTAAGAATTCCAATATATTCATTTTTATATTCTTATTCAAGCCTCCACATCAGCCATATGTAAGGAGGTCCCAGGAAAGGCTTTGCTTTTTGCCTGCTTGCCCTTGTGCTTCAATTTCCCCTGTTGTTATTGCTGCTGCTGCTGCTGCATTCCTTCCCTGATAGAAAAATCCATTTTCTTCTGGCTACTGATGTGAAGACCAGGAATCCTTTACACCTCCGGCATCAGGTTGGCATTGTGGAACCATCCAGCCTCCTGGATAGGGCAGGTACCAGTTTCTCCAGTGTGAAGGCAGCTGTTGTTGGACTATGCAAACAACATCATGTAAGCCAATCTAATGAACCCTTTTAATACATATTCATTTTATGGGTTATGCTCCTCTAGAGAACTTTTAATAATACAGTGTCCAAGAAAACTTGCTGTTAAATATTCAGCATCTGGTTGAAGTCATGTAGCATTAGAACTGTTTTAGATATATTGATGTTAGAATTGGAGACTCTATTTGACCATATCTCTGTCCGAACCAGGGCTGCTGTGATTTTTCAAAGCACAGTTTCTGGAAGGTTTTCACACTTTGCTAGACCTCCTTGTACAGTCAGGTTAGAACACTCTTTTTGGCCAGGACTTTTGCTATTCTTAATTGCTGAAGCCATGGCTTCTCTTTAAAGGCACTACAAATAAAACAAAATAAAATATAAAGACATAATTCACAAGGAGGCCCAATCTTCCCTGTGCATTGCTGAATTATTGAGGGTGATGTCATTACTGTTTAGTTCACTTGTCACATAGGTCGGAGGGGAAATAGTAACAATAGCCTTTCTAAAGCCAATATCTTACAATGAGGAAGGAAGAATACTCTGTCTAGTTAGTGCTAGAAGTTTACAGCCCGCCACTAGAAACTGAAACTCATACAAGGTCATGGAGAATTTTCTGGGCCATAACATTTTCCCTGTCCTTTCTAGGCAACTCTGTGTAGCATATCCTCTCTCGTACACATCCTTCCTGACCCCAGTGGTATTCCTAAATTTAAAACCAAGTTTGTTTTTGATAGTCTTTAACTGAAATGCTACGAAACCAATTCTTCACTTCAGTTGCTTCATCTGTACTAAGAAAGACTTGTAGATTTTAATGCAGCTGTTGCTACTTTGTACAACGAGGTGTCATTCATTAAAGAAAGGTCTTATGTACTAGAGAGACAGCTCAGTAGTTAAAAACACTGACTACTTTTACAGAGGAACCTGACTCAGTTCACAGCCCCACGTGCTAACTCACAGCCACCTATAACTCCAATTCCAGAGGATCAGATGTCCCTTCTGGCCCCCACAGAGGAGTATTTCTCTCCTATTTACTTACAATTTAGCACATCGTTTGTAGCTTCCCTAAATGTGTTCCCTTCACAACATCTTTGCTCTCCTCTATACCTACAAAGCTAGAAACAAACCCCAGTTCCTTCTCTCTGTTCCAACACCATCACACACCATCACATAGCACCACACACCATCACATAGCATCACACACCATCACATGGCATCACACACCATCAGTGAGGGGGTTTATAGCCTATACCTCAGCAGAATTTCTTTATGTCTGGCAGTTCCCCTCTTCCCTAGCTGCTCCTCTTCACTGTCTGTACTGTCTCTTGTTTGTCACATTTCTTTCCTCTACTGGGGTCTTGCTTTTCACAGATCTCTACCAGATTTGTCTTTAAAAGCAAAGGTACAGGGCTGGAGAGATGGCTCAGAGGTTAAGAGCACTGTCTGCTCTTCCAGAGGTCCTGAGTTCAATTCCCAGCACCCATATGATGGCTCACAACCATCTGTAATGAGATCTGGTGCCCTCCTCTGGCCTCCAGGGTTAGGGTTAGGGTTAGGGTTAGACATAATAAATAAAATCTTTTTTTTTAAAAAAGCAAAGACATTTGTCTTTATTTAGGGAGGCTACAAAAGATGTGCTAAATTTTAAGTATATAAAAGAGAAATATTCCTACTGTGGGAGCCAGACAAGACATCTGATTCTCTAGAATTTGAGTTATTTGCTTACAAAAACCCCAGCTCTGTGGTCTCCCTGCTTCACTCCCTATGCTATGGGGAGCCAGTTCTCCACTTGGACAGAAATGTTTCTGCTTAATGTAGACATACCTTGCCAATTTCACCTCTAGCCATTCTTTCCCTGGGTCCTCTAAAATGAATTTTGCAGAATCCACTTTCCTCATTATTCGATTTCTTCCTTGCCCTTTCACAAAGCAATATAGTCAACTACGCCATTGATCACCTTGCCTAGATCCTTCCCTTAGTCATTCCTCTAGTCTGAAGTAGTCCTGTGGATTTTTTTTGTTTTGTTTTAAAATTTTATTTTATTTTATGTTTTTGAGTGTGGTAGTTTCAATGTTATCTCCCCCCCCCCCCCCCCGCCCCCAATCTCATATGGAATGGCACTATTAGGAGGTAGGGCTTTGTTGGAATGAGTATGGGCTTATTGGAGGAAATGTGTCACTGTGGGGGGTGGGTTTGAGGTTTCCTATGCTCAAGATACAGCCCAGTGCCTCAGTTGATTTCCTGTTGCCAGCAAGATGAGACACTCTCAATTCCAGCACCATATCTGCCTGCAAGCTGCCATGCTCCCCACCATGATGAAAATGGACTGAACCTCTGCAATTGTAAGCAATCCACCCCAATTAAATGTTTCCTTTATAAGACTTGCTATGATCATGGTCTCTCTCTCTTTTCCCCCGAGACAGGGTTTCTCTGTGACTTTGGAGGCTGTCCTGGAACTAGCTGTTGTAGACCAGGCTGGTCTCGAACTCACAGAGATCTGCCTGCCTCTGCCTCCCAAGTGCTGAGATTACAGGCGTGCTCCACCACCACCCTGCCATGGTCTCTTGACAGCAATAAAAACACTAGAGATAATGAGTTAATGAGTGTTTTACTTGTGTGTATGTATGAATACCAAGTGTATGCTTTCTGCCCTCAGAGGTCAGAAGAAGGCATTGGATTCCCTGGAACTATAGTTAGGGTTGGTTTTAACTGCTACATGAGTGCTGAGAATTGACCCTTTGTATCATCAGCAAGAACAGTAAGTTCTCTTAACTACTGAGCCAGGCCTTCCTTTAAGTTTTAAAATGCTGTGTCTATTAGGAGTGGTCCCCAGGTCCATGTCTACCAAATTTAACTTTTCTGTGTGTGTTGGGCTAACTTCTTGCTTTATCTCAGTGGTTATGTCTCTTTGAACCCTCTAACTCATGTGCACTGTCCATAAAATTAACTATTTTTTTTTCTTTTTGGTTTTTTTCAAGACAGCGTTTCTCTGTATTGCTTTGGAACCTGTCCTGGGACTCGCTCTGTAGACCAGGCTGGCCTTGAACTCACAGAGATCCACCTGCCTCTGCCTTCTGAGTGCTGGGATTCTGAGGCGAGCACCACCAATGCCGGGCTATAAAATTAATTCTCAAACCTGGAAACAGTCATTCATACTTAATTAGCTCTTCTTCATAACCCACCTGACTTAATTTGAGGACCTTTCTTCTTCATTCTGATGCACACCCCCACTCCTCCCTGTTCAGAGTTTATTGTTATTCTTACCCTGGCATCTGAACTCTGGCTCTTCAGCATTCACTCACACATTGCATATTGTATACCAAGAACCGTTCTATGCACTGGAGACACAAAAACATGAACAAAACAATAAGGTATGCCTTTTAAAGCTGCAAACAAAACATAATAGAGAGCTCTGCTTGCTTCTGAAGCACAGAGCCTGTCAGTGTGAGCATGTGGGCTGCTGTCCGCTCTCTGTGTGCTCTAATACAGCCTTCTGGTCCAGTTTCCCACATCTGAATCATCACTAACCCTCACTTCGGGTCACATGAATCTCATTGGAATCTGTTGATAAGCAACAGGAAGGCTGGTTTTGCAACACTACAGACATCATTTGACCTGTGTGGATCCTACTCTGTCTTGTATGCCAAGGATCAAGATTCCAAGACCTCTGATCTCAGTCACTCTCAATTCTGCAAAAGCCACACATACTTACTAAGTTAACTCATATTAGCACATTTTCTGTGCTCACTGCAGAAATGTGATCTTTAATTCAACTCTAAAAGTTTCATTTTCATTAATCTAGAGTTCATTTAGTGACAGATGGTCCAACCAGTGCTTCTACAGGGCGCTAGGTGAGTAGTCTGGAGTCCTGGTTTGGGAGACTAGCCTTCCTAGAGCTGACCTGACCCAGGATGGACTGTGAGGTTCTTGTTCATCTTCTACCTGTAATCTTCTACCTGTAATAGCAACTCCGTGTTAGTGCATGCTGCTGTTGAGGAGGTGTCTGCTGCACATATGTGTGTGTGACTGGTTGACAGAGAGCTTCAGTGGTCATTTGGAGATAATTATTTGGAGCCTCCTAGTGTCTGGGTTGACTGGACAATTCAAAGGGACCCTAGTCAGTAGTTCTGTGACTGCCATGGAGTACGTGAACCAGACCAATAAGGGGCTACAGGGGCATGGGTTGATAGGTCTCTATTCCTTCCCATAGCACAGCAGCCCAGAAAGACTAAACAGATCCTGGAAAAGCTACGTGGAAAGTGGGCCGAAACAGATGGCTTGAAATTAAAGAGAAAAATATTGAGAAATGAGAACCAGAATGCAGTTTGCCTGAAGTAAGTTTCAAGGAAAGACAGCCAGGCAGGCCACCCTCCTGAGAGTCCCCTACTGCACTAACACCTTAATGAACAAAGTGGATTTTTTCCCCAGAAATTTCCTTGAATTGACTGTTTGACAGTTCTAATCTTTATGACATACAATTAATTGCAAAAACACCAGCATAACAGAGAAAACTGATCAGAAGTATTTACAAAAGCCAACCACAAACTTATCCTATTTCTCATTCATCCCTAGATACAGAGCAAGAGAAACAAATTGACCTCACAAAAGGACTTACACAAAAGTAGTCATGTATTTTAACTTAAAACAGCCTCTAAGTTAAAGACGACTCAGACTTCTACCAGTAAAAATGGATAAATATGCTGGGCAGTGGTGGTGCATGCCTTTAATCTAAGCACTTGGGAGGCAGAGGGGTGGATATCTGTGAGTTCTAGGCCAGCCTGGTCTTCAAAGAGAGTTCCCAGACAGCCTCCAAACCTATAGCAAAACCCTGTCTCAAAAAGCCAAAAAGAAAAAAATTACACAAGTGGAAACAAAATCTGCCTTGATGGTCACTAGATTGATCAACATAATGGTGTCTCTATGTTAGTTTTAGCAGAGTAATATATATATATATATATGTATATATATATATATGCATATATATATATATATATATATGCCTTTTAACTGTACTCTGCTAAAAGAGGATAGAGTCATAGGCATGAGTGACCACACTGAGATCTGCTGACTTTTTTTAGTTCTTAAATTTTTTAAAATTGATTTACGAAGTTGGATCTTTAATTTTGAATTTTACTGCCTAAATTACTCTCACCACTAGGTGGCAGCAAGTTAGGAGGAAAAAACAGCAATGCCAGTACAGAAAGGAAAGCTAACCTATGTAGCCTCGATGTAAATTTTTTTCTCATGATACTGAGCAAGAAAAAAACCAGTCACACATCTGTACTTCTCTAGCCTCGGCACCCAGCCATGCATCACATGTAAAGCAGACATAAATGATTTAGTGGAAATGTTCTGTTTTCAGTTATGGGTGTGAAGGTTCCCGAAAGCCCATCTGATAAACTCTGTGTCCTTCAACTGTGATAGTCCATCACCTTAAATATCAACGCCAAATCCTACCATTCTACCTAGGACAGATGTCCTCTCTCCTGTAAGTCTTGACCTGTAAGTCTCCTTAAGCCTTCATGGTTCAATTTGTTTTAATTTGTTCTTGTCGAGTCTACTTTCAAGGCTGTTCAACCTTCAAGGGCAGTTTTGATAACACCCTCCCATATTTTAAGTTTCTTTGTCCCATGTCCCTTTCTGAGAACTACAGGAGTAAAGGGTGACACATAGACTGGGCAATAGCACCAGTGGAGTCTTCCTTTAGGTCTGAGGCTGAGTTGAGACCCTTTAATTGTTATGGCTTTGTTTTCCGAGACAGGATCTTCCTATGCATGCCAGGCTTGAAACACCCCTGCCTCTGACTCCCAAGTGCTGGGATTAGAGGCAAGTGCCACTAGGCTCAGTGAGAAAGTCCTTGATGCTAATTAAGTAATGAAGTGTTAAAACAACTTGTGTTACTCAGTAGGAATTCATGAACGTTTCTCTGTCCTAGACCTGCCTCAGTCAATGTGCCTTTGCACGTTTAAAGAGAAAACATTACCTTGCCACCGCTAAGCAGTAGATGGCATTCTCCCTTGGAGTCCTCCCACTGTGCTCTGAGAAAGATGTGAAGAAGGACCTCAGCAAGCAGTCAGCTCCAGGTGCATTGCCCTGGAACACTGGGTGGGAATAATCTACTCTTGAAACTGGAGGGAGCGGGACCTGGGGGAGATAGACATTTTTAATGTGCTTTTCTTTTCTCCCAGCAGGCGCAGTTTTATTTCGCTGGTTTTCTTTTTGGTGGCTTTGTAGTTCTGAGGACATGTTTGGTACTAAGGATGGGAATGTGATTTGTTTTCTCGTGTCCCTTTGTGAAATTACTGAAGAATCCACATGTTTCCTGTTTGACTGTTGCTTGGAAAGTGGTGGTTTACTCCGAGTGCTTTGCCAGCTCTTGTCTCCAACCTTGTGCCAGCTCTTGGAAGTCATTTTTGGTTTAGTGAAACCATCCACCACCACAGTGTCTCCAACTTTTGCCCCAGAGACCCTTGCTCTGCCAAGCTGGCTTTTATGGCCCCTGTGATTCTGAGCTCTGACGATCCACTGCTTTATTTTAATATAAATCCTCATTGGGACTGAAAGTTTTAGAAAAGAAACTGTGGAGCACATTTTACTCAGTAGGTATAAGACACAGTCTTTATGCTGGTGTTTTGCTGCAATGGCCAGGGGAGTTTGCCCTGCTGCATTTTTACATTCCAGGCACAGGACATTGCAGTTGACAAAGGCCTTCAGAATTAACAGTTGGCCAGCCTCTGCAGCTGCGTGAATAGGGCAATTAGAGACATCTGTGTGAAGGGCTTCGTGGCACCAGGCTCGATAAGGGTGAACACCAACCGCCTCGTGGGGCTGCACGCCCTGCTTCAGAGTCCATTCAGTGAGTTCAGTGTGTCCATGAAAAGCAGCGATGTACAGGGCTACTCTTTTCTGGTACCTGAATGAGGGAAACAAGTTTGGCAGAAAGAGTTAGTAAGTCAACAAACAGACAAAAATATTCCTTATGATGCTCATTTAACTGTGAACATATTTTAGAGGGGTTGGGATATTGATGCAGTGGGAAGTACTGCCAGGTGAACCTGTAACTCAGCACTGGGAGGACAGAGACAGAATTGCTAGGACCGGCTGCCCACTGGCCTGCTTCAGAGAGACACCTTGACTCAAAAGAATATGATGGAGTAATAGAACAGGACATTTGACATCCTCTTTGGCTTTCATGCATGAGCTCACACACATGTACATACACACGCCAGAATGTGCAACACACACACACACACACACACACACACACGCACACGCACACCAGTTTTGGTTTTTTGAAACGGGTCTCCTGTAGGGTCACATTGGTCTTGGACCCTCTAGGTAGCTAAGCCTGGCCTTGAACTCCTAATTCTGCCTTTACCTTCTTGAGTGCTAGCATTGCAGCATGTGCTACCACACCCAGCATGAGCTGTAGGTATTTTTTTTTTTTTTTGAGCTGTAGGTTTTAAGGTAGATCACACTTTGTACCTACCCCACCACTCCCAAATCTTTCTCAAAACTTGAAAGCTAAGTCAAAATTCAATCACATTTCTCTATGAAGAGGCCTCTGTCTACTATCTGCCTCATTCCTCATGGGTCATCCAGTTCCTTGAAGCTATTGTCTTGCACCGGGGTCTTTTCATATGGTTCTGGAATATCTGCTTCAGCACATTGATTTTTTCTTTCTCTTTATCACCTATCTGAATACAATCCTTTAGTTCTCAACTCATATTTATCTCTCTTGGTGTACTCTTCTCACTGTCCTCATGATATGTACTGTTGTTCTGTCTGCACTGTGCCCTGCCACAACCCCTTTCATACTGAATAATAGTAACAACAAAGTTTGCTTTATATCCTGCTTACTATGTGCCAAACATAATTACTATTATCAACTCATTTAACCCCCCAAACATTCTCTGAGATAGATATCCAAATGTAGTTAGCTAAATACTGAAGGAGCAGGGCTTCAAACCAAGGCAAAGGGGCCTTGGAGTTCATAGCCCCAGATATTTTGCAATTCTGCTTCTCCCGGAATTGCTTTTATTCCCTCTTCTGTTCTATAAGTTTATAGAGCACAGTAACCATTATTTTTTACTGCTGGATTATTAGGATCTTGTGCAGTACACAGTAAGTAATCAATAACTACACACTGGTTAGGTAGAGAGGAATAAAAAGAGTATTTGAGTCTGATCGTGTACATCTTTGAAATCTCAGTTTCCTCACCTATAAAACAAAGTGAAGGGTGCCCTCCATGAAATTACTGTACGTATGAAGGAGATAAACAGTACAGTGCTTGGTCACAGGCAGTATGCTCACTAACAGTAGTAAAAGTAATGCAGGCAATTGTTCGGATTCAGAATATGACACAGGATTACAACTATCCCTAACAGAAACTGGTGGGGGAAAAAATGGGCTAGTTCATGGTTGTAAGAACTCTGCCTCCTGGCTTTCTTTTTATGGAGCCCTTGGAGCTCCCTGTAGTGTCTGCATTTGCTAAAACGTGTTTAATCACCCACAAGAGGGCACTGTTCTAAAACATCCTACCACTAACAGTTAATTCAACTTTGAGAAGCTGCTGACTGAAGTAACATAGTAAAATAACCACCAGCTTCTCCAAGCCAAGCACGTTTAACAGTCCTAGACACACATCACCCTTCCTGTAAGGCAAAAGAGTGAACTATTGTTCCAGCAAAAGGACAGCTTTTTATTCCAATCTCAGCAAACACATTCATTCAGGTAGAGTGAGATTCATGTCAGAGACAGGAGTGAGAGTCCAGCTTGGTACCCTGTTTGGGTTGTCCTGATAGTCACCGTATGTGAAGGTTGGATGGAGGTAATGACAGGCAGCCAAGTCAGTTCTTAATAAGGCAACTAAAGGAGAAGCCTGACTCATCATTTCTAAGCTTTAATACAGTCAAACATTTGAAATTGAATTACATCTTATGGTTTGGGGACTATGTCTGTTACTAAACCCTGGCATTTCAATGAAGAAACCAATCACAGTGATAACTCAGTGTAAGGTTCAAGGTTGAATGGAGGCTTAAACAGAGTGACTTAAATCGATCTAACATTTGCTTTAGTTCTCGTACTTGAGCACTGGTCCTTCTTTCGATAAGTATCGTTGGACTTTAGATTTTTGCCCAAGAAGACATCCCATGAGAAATTCCTTCCATCCATCCCAGACATCCAACCGAAGTGTTGTGCCTGTGGATCGAGAGAGACAGTTTATGGTCCAGTCTGTCACTGTGGCTCAGCAATACATTAAGCTTTAATGATAGATTTCTCCAAACATAGCGAGAGCATAGTGAAATGAAACCTTGGAATCAGGAGGCAGGGATGTATGCTACTCTTCCTTCAGGCCTTTATTGGCAGGGAAAGCCCTTTAACACTATGCAGTTTGGGGTGAACAGGTAAATCAAATAAATATGCACATCAGATATTTACTTATAATCAACCATAAAGAATTTGTTTTAGGAGCCAATGAAATGGCTCAGTAAGTAAAGGTGCTTGATGCCAAGCCTACCTACCTGGGTTTGACCCCAGGACCCACATGGTGGAAGGAAAGAACAGACTCCTACAAGTTATAATCTGACCTCCACTTGTGTCTTGGCATAAAATAAATAAATAAATGTTTAAAAAATATCTGGGACTGGAAAGGTGACTCAGGCAAAGAGTGCAAATTGCTCTTGCAGGAGATCTGGGTTTGGTTCCCAGCACCAATATGAAATGATTCACAACCACTTGCAATTCCAGATCCAGGGGTTCTGACACTCCTGGTTTCCTTATGCACTAACAATGACATGCCGTAACCACCCCTCCCCCATAGACACAGACACACATACACACAAACACACACAGAGTCTATAACTGGCTGCGCTTCCAGAGGTCCTGAGTTCAATTCCCAGCAACCACATGCTGTCTCATAACCATCTGTAATGAGTTCTGGTGTCCTTTTCTGGCATGCAGGTATACATGCAGGCAGAACTCTGTATACATAATAAATAAATCTTTTTAAACAGTTCTTTGGTACATGTATCATTTTATAATTTATAAAAGACTAAAGAAAAATTGCACACTAGTGAGATGAATATACCTTTTACTTTAACAGCAAGTATTAAATCTTGGGGCTAGAGAGATGGCTCAGCTGTTAAGAACAGTTTGGGCTCTTGAAAAGAACCTGGATTTGGTTCCCAGAACCCATATGGTAGCTCATAATTGCCTGTAACTCCAGCTTCAAGGGATCTGATACCCTCTTCTGGCCTCTGTTTCTGTGCTCTGTGTACACACACACACACACACACACACACACACACACACACACACACACACTTACACAGAAATAAAATTAAGTTGTGGTTTTTGTGAAAAGGTTTCTCTGTGTAGCCCTGGCTGTCATAGAACTTGCTCTGTAGACCAGGCTGGCCTTGGACTCATAGAGATCCACCTGCCTCCTGAGTGTTGGGATTAAAGGTGTGCACCACCGTGCCCAGCTGATAAATATTTTTAAGAAGAATTAAATATTTATTGAATATTTGATACAGATGCAGATCATCTTCAATATTTTTCCGAGTGAACTGATATTTTACTTTATAGCTGTCACTGCTGAGACCATTGCTTCACATATCTATATAGCACAAATGCTGAGGATGTTTTTGTCATCTCAGAATCAATGGAAACCCTGTCCTTAATCTCAAGTCAAAATTCATCTAACTGGGTGGATGTACAGTTGCATGTGTATAGAGGCTAGAAGTCATTGTTGAAGGTCTTTCTTTTTTCTTTTCTTTCTTTCATATATATGCATATATATCATTTATATATATATATCTCATATATATATATATCATTTATATGTTATTTATTTTTTAAATTTTATGTGCATTGATGTTTTGCCTGCATGTATGTCTGTGTGAGGGTGTCAGATCTTGGAGTTACTGATAGTTGTGAGCTGCCATGTGGGTGCTGGGATTTGAACCCAGGTCTTCTGGAAGAGCAGTTAGTGCTCTTAACTGATGAACCATCTCTCCAAACCCCTCCCCCAGAGTCCTACTTTCTACCTTACTTTTAGAGACAGGGTCTCTTACTTGATCTAAACCTCAGCAATTCAACCAGACAAGCTGGCCAGCAAGCTCCATACAGCCTTCTGTCTGTGTCCACTAAAGCTGGGGATATAGGCATGTGCCATTCCACCTGGCTTCTATGTGGTGGTGGGGATCAAACCTGGGTTCTCCTGTTTGCATGGCAAGCACTTTGTCAACTGAGCCACATCCTCAACTCCCTAATTACACTGTTTTCTTTTTGAGGGAGGGGGGCAGTCACTCTCTCCTATGTAGCTCTAGCCAGCTTGGAACTTGCCACACAGACCAGGGTGGTCTCACATTTGTAGTGATCCTCCTCTTTGTGCCTCCTAAGTGCTAGGATTATAGGTATGTACCACCATGGTTGGTTATTATATACTTTCCTCTGTTTCCAGGTAAATCCTTTGTAGTCTCTTACATTCAGCCTCTCCTTGGGATTAGCGTGTTCACAAGCCTGTAGCTTGAATTTTCCTCCAGGCCTGGAGGTTCAGCATGCCTTCCATTCCTCTCTTCTTAGACCATCCATAGTTCTGCATCTCATGTGCTCCAGCCCGAATTCTCCTGAATGACACCCTGTGATCCCATCGGCCCAAAATGTTATTTTCCACTCCCTTTGGAGAACGACTCAGAGTTCACCTTTAGGTAGCAGCAAGGATGAGCATGCTGCCAGGAATCCTCTGGTTAAAGCAAGGGGCTGGATACGTAGGGGAATGCTGGCTGTGCCTTAGGAGGGCAAAAAGCAGGCCAGAGTCACCCCCCCCCCCATACTTCCTTTTGAGCCTTTCCTCCAATGCCCTGTGTCAGGAGATCTATCTAAATGGTTCCTGGGCTCTGGACTTTGTATCTGAAATCCTCTCTCTCACCCCTCTCCCCCATCTCATCCCTTCAAATGCTTATTTTAAAGGATTCTTTTCTTCAACATACTGAGTGATCCATTCAGAAACTTTGATTTTTTTTTTTTTCAAATCTGGGAAAGGTGGCCTTGGACCAAGTAATTTTTAAATTCTTTCCAGCCTTAAAAATGTCATAATCCAAGAAGTATGTGAGTGAAAGAACACCCTACAGAAATCAGGCTAGTTTTGTTTGGATCTTTAATTAAAGAATCAGATTATCAGTTGCTTGAATACAAATTCGGTGTGAGCCCTGCACTCCAAGCTGTGTGAGCCTCCAGCAAGTACTCAGAGCTAGTGTAGCACTCTGGGGACAAATCCTACAACTTTGTTCTCTCTGATCAAAAATGGAGGCAATAACTGATTAAAGTTTTCAGATCCTCAGCTCCAAACAACATGAAAGTAGATTGCTAAGCAAAATAAGAGTCTGGAGAAATATCAGTAAGTGTAGATTTAGTAGTGACAGAAAGCAAAGCTATTTAGCTCATGCATGCCTGCAGAGCCCTGCATATATGCCAGGAAAACTCAAAATCCCTGGCAGTAAATTTTTGTAGCGCACTCACACTCTGAGGAGGACTGATCTTCAGCAATTACCTGTTTACCTTTCAATAATAATCCAGGTTTGAGTCACTTTCTGGTCTTGGTAAGACAAATCTAGCACTTTTTCTTGTTGGTGTTTGGTTAAGAAGACATGAACTGAATCTATAGTATTGGAGGAGAGGTTGCAATTCTTCTGTTGGGTAATTCCAGTTAGCTAAGGCAGCTTTTCATCCTGCACAACACTGCTGTTAAAAAGGTTGCTGTTAAAAGCTGGCAACATTTAAGAATGAGAGTATACAAAGTGAGTTTCAGAATGTTGTGTTGTATTGCTGCCAGCTGCATTAAGAAAGAAGAAAACTAGAACTCATATAATGTGCTTGAAATATACTTTAGAAGACAAAGATGATGTTACTCGAGTTGTATCCTTCCACCCTGAGAATATTAGCAAAACACTGCTTTAAGAATTAGCGGAGCAGAGCTGGGGAGATGGCTCAGCAGTTAAGAACATGAGGGCTGCACTTGCAGAGGACCTGGAGTTCAGTTTTCTGCACTTGCAACCACATGTAACTCCAACTCTGGGGGATCTGACTTACTCTTCTCACCTCCAAAAATACCTGTACATATGTGTACACACACATATTTGCTGTGAAATAATTCTTTTGTACACCGTGAAGATGTGTTGTTTCCATTGTTAATAAAAGCTAATTGTCCCATGGCTAGGCAGGATTTTCAAGGCCGAGAGATCGCTGGGAAGTAGAGGGGTGGAGTCTCGGGGGTCAGGAGGAGACACTATGAGACACAGAGCAAGTAGGATGGGAAGTATGCATATGAGGTAAATACATATATTACATTCAGCACATACATTAGCAGAAATGGGTTAATTTAAGTTATAAGAACTAGCTAAAAACAAGCCTAAGCTAACAGCTGAGCATTTATAATTAATATTAAGTCTCTGTGTGATTATTTGGGAACAGCTGGTGGGACAGAACTCATTGATGGTCCCAAGGAAAAAGTCCCCCTACATGTATTCACATATACATATGCACACATACAAAAATTTTAAATTAAATATAGGAATAAGCAGAGCTAAGAGATCTTTATTTCTTACTCTATAAACCTGGATGAAAGAGCTAAGTACTGATAATTTACACCCTCAGTGTGCCTACTGAGGTTTCAATTTGCAACAACTCCATTTGTGGTGACTTAACTTGTGATTTTTAAATCTTGGCAAGAATCATGGTTTCCTAAAGTAGGGAACTGAGTGCTTAGAGGGCCAGGAGAGTTATCCCTACACATCTTTCTATACTTCAGCTAGTTAAACCACATAAGCTATTAACTATTTCAGGGCAAATAAAATACATTCTGCATATAAGAGAGCTAGATTTCCATTCTGTCTTGATAAGCTACAAATCTAGTATCAAAGAGTTCTGGTGCCGAGAGGCAGCTGACATGGAGTGTGGTGGGCAGTACCGATATCAGTGTGGTAGTCCCTGAGGGTGTTGCAGTCATACATCTCCAGTCCCTTTGGTGTCCGGAGACAGTAGATGCTCACAGGGAAGCCACATCTCAGAGTTACCAGCGTTCTCAGGTCAGACACCTTTTTACCCAGAATGGACACATTCTCCATTATTGGCATCATTTCCTGGGTCACAGCATTAAATACATAAAGGGTAGGCTTGTCTTCTTTCTGCAGGGAGAGAAAGGGGACACTCACTGTCTGTAGGTTGTGTTGGGAATACTGGACTCTGAGCATCTCCACCTCCTATGATACGTGTGCAAATGGGGGAGATAAAGTCAGTTTTCTTCTGGGACTGTATCTCACTCTGCTTCCTGAGGGCATGACATGTCCCCATTTTGAGTGAAGGGATGAAGACTGCAGGCCTCTTACACTTAACTCTACAGACACAGATAGGTAAGCAGCCGGACTGCTGCCAGTGTGTGTCCTGTGCAGAGAGCACTGCTCCACGATGCTATGTTTAAGACAGAGAGACTACTGTGTGCCCAGAACTTTTATCCCTTTTCTGAAATTCACTCTGGAGTTTGGCTCCAAGAAAGAGCATGAGGGACAATTTTCTTACAGTTGTGTGCTCTTTCTTGTTTCTGTGGTTTGCCTTTTTATAAGATACACTTATATTTACTTTTGGTTTTAAATAGGGAAATAATAAATGTAGATTTTTTAAAGTTTCTTTTGTTCCTTTTATCTTAGAGTCCAGATAGGAAAGTAAGTAGAACTGAGACATCCAAAGTGAAGATGGAAAGTTTGGGGGAATGTTAATCCTGGTTCCAACAGTTTAACCAAGCAAGCCCAGGAAGTGGGTCGGGGGAAGATGAATGAATAATGAATACATTTCTTCCAGTCTAGAGAAGTGAAACTGGCTTTACTTCCTCTTCAGTGGTTGCAGGACTATGACATTTTTTTTCTCCAGTGGCCTGCTGTTGGCTGGGCATGTGCAAGTGCATGGCACTGCCCCAGAATGTCCCTATTAATGAGGCTTTCTTAAAAGCAAATACATAGCTTCCAGGTCCTCCATGCACCCTTCAGCCAGTCCAGCCACTTACCACATCTTGCCTGTAGTCATAGGAGTTGAGAGGTTGGGAGGTAGATGAAGGAAGATCAGAAGTTCAAGACCAGCTTCATCTACATAGAAAGCTTTCTTTCTTTCTTTCTTCCTTCCTTCCTTCCTTTCTTCCTTCCTTCTTTCCTTCCTTCCTTCCTTTCTTCTCTCTCTCTCTCTCTCTCTCTCTCTGTCTGTCTTCCTTTCTTTCATCCTTTCTCTCTCTTTCTTTCCTTCTTTTCCTTCCTTCCTTGTTTCTTTTTGTTTTGTTTTGTTTTGTTTTGTTTTTGAGACAAGCTTTCTCTGTGTAGCCCTGCCTGTCCTGTAACTCTCTCTATAGACCAGGCTATCCTCAATCTCAGAGATATGCCTGCTTCTGCCTCCCAAGATCTGGAATTAAAGGTGTGTACCACCACAGCCTGGCCCAAAAGTTTTCTACATTATTGACTCAAAGGACAAAAGCCAATCCAAAGCTAAATTTTCTCTGGTTCCTCCTGGAACCTGTTCCTGCTACAAACTTATAGTATATTGGGTTCATTCCCCTCTTCCCAGATAGCATTGCCATAGCATAATCAATATACACATCTCAAAGACTCTTGGAGGAAGGATGTTACTCATGAAATATGAGTTTCCAGTGTTTTGATTGAGGACCTATTTCAAGAAGCATGTTAGCAGAGAAAGATCAGTCTGTCTTCTGTTACCCATGAAACCAACCCAACAAGCTGAGATGCTGCCTGTGTCCAGTGGGCTAAGTGTTCTGAGTGTAAGTTGTAATAATCTCACTCAAGAAGGATACTCCTGTTGCCCTTTGGCTCCCTCAGGTAAGCATCTGCCAACCTTATCCCTGAAATATTCATAGGAAGGCAAAATTACTCTAAAAATCTAATTAAAGGCCGTGGGGAGGGGCTGGAAAGACGACTCAGTGGTTAGGAGCGCTTGCTACTTTTCCAGAGGACCCACATTCAGTTCCCAGCACACACATTAGCACATCAGGCAGCACACAACTACTTGTAAATTCAGTTCAGGACTTTTGATGTCCTCTTCTGGTCTCTGAGGGCACCTGCATATATGTGAGGTGTGTGTGTGTGTGTGTGTGTGTGTGTGTGTGTGTGTGTGTGTGTACAGACTCATACACAAACATACTTTTTTTTTTAGAGGTAGTGGAGAAGGAAGGAAAATTATGATTTATACAACAGTGGTCCCTTATTTGTTTAGAATCCCTTGATTTCTCTTTAGGTCTCTCTAATATACCTTTATCAATAAATACAAACAAATGACAAATGAAATGCAAATAAACAGATAACAACATGCAAACACAGCTGTCAAGGCTTAAGTTGATCTTTACAATGAACTAAGTTGATCTCAACAGCAAAGTACTATATACTATATATAATACTATATTCTATATATGATATAAGTGTGATTAAAAGTATACCAGAATATGAATATCCTATGATTATAAAGAAAAAGGTCTCTAGTCTGTGCATACATATAGGTAATTCTGGAGCAAGTCATAACCAGGGGGAGTTGAAAAATAGCTCACAGCTTTAGATGAAAATCAGAAGTCACGGGGTGGGGGGAATGCTGTCTATGAAGCTAGATTCTTAGGTCTACAGAAATACCTTCAAGTCTTTCCTTTCTTTTCTTTTCTTTTCCTTTCTTTCCTTCCTTCCTTCCTTTTTTTTTTTTTTTTTTTTTTTTTTTTTTTTGCACTAGAACTTTTCATCAATAAACACACGATATCCTGGGCTTATTTCACTTTCAATGTAGGGAGAAAGGAGTTTCCACTGTGCTATTGCAACCACATGCCCACCACTTTATAAACTTTGCTTTCAAACGTAGTGAAATTTTAATTGTAATTTGAATAGTAATGGGGTGCACCATTAGCAGACAGTTCTGACTCTGATTGCATGGAAAAAGGAGCATATAGATGCCTGTGGGAGACACAGAGGTCCTTATGCTCTCAGGTACATACTAGGAGAGTCAGGAACATTAAACACACAGGGTTGTGCCTTCAAAGGGAGGGATGTATAACCTGTTCTCCACCCAAAAGTCTGTGAGAAGATGTGCTTGGTAACCTGGTGACCTTTGTGCTATCTGTGTGGCTGAGACTGAACTGAATCCTCCTCAGCTCTTATCATGAGCTTGTCAATCTCCAGAACCTTTCTTTATGGAGGTGCCACATGTAGCCAATCTAGAGAACCAATCTTTATGGAAGATGTCACATGTATTTTAGCAAGAGTTTTGATGTAGTTATGTCTTCTGTTTTATTGTGCACATGGGATTGAGTTATTTATCATCAGAAATTTTTCACTAAATTGTGTTGTGATTAAATATGCCTAGGACTATCTGAAATGCCCTTCCTCTATAATGAGGTTAACCAAATTATTTCTGTAACTTTGCTATGGCCAATGTTTATGACACAGAAAGGTACTCTAGGCACTACCAAAAGAGAAAACTAAACACTAACCCAACCACAAAACCTTTGATCTACAATCTGCCCTGCCTACAAAATATGCTACGTCATGATGGCACAAACTTTGTGGGAGTCACCAACCAATGTCTGGTAGTTCAAAAATCTAGGGTAAAGCCAAATATTATTGTGAAGTAATCTTTTTGTACTTTGTGAAGATTTGTCACTTGGATTGGTTTAATAAAAAACTGAATGGCCAATAACCAGGCAGGATTTTCAGGGCAGAGAGGATGCTGGGAAGAAGGGAGGAGACAGGGAGTCGCCAGCAAGAGATGGAGGAAGTAGGAAAGCAACATGGGCAGTAGAGAATAAAGGAAATAAAGCCACGAGGCAAAAAGTAAATGAATAGAAACAGGCTTATTTAATCTATAAGAGCTAGTTAGAAACAAGTTGAAGCTATTGGCCAAGATTTTATAATTAATAGTAAGTCTCTATGTCATTGTTGGGGAGCTAGTGTTACTGATGAAAAGGTCTGACTACAAAATACTTCTGTTCTAAAAAGAAAAAAAGTGTAACAGTAAAATGATTCTTAATGATATTTCGAAATACTCATAGATCAGTGTCTTATCCAGTCATCATCAGAGAGGCTTCCTCTTGCAGCAGATGGGAACAGATACAGAGATCTATAGCTGGACATTATGCAGGGTAGGCAAAGAGACCTTGAAACACACAGCTCGAAATGAGATATCACCATCAAATCCCTCCCCTCAGACCTCAGGGAACCTGGTAGAAGGGGAGGCAGTGTTGGGGAGACAAAGGAGAGGGAGGACTCCAAGAGAACAAAGCCCTCTGAATCAACTGAGAAAAACTCATATGAACTCACAGAGATGGAAGCAGAATCTCAGGGCCTACACGGGTCTGTACCAGGTCCTCCAAGTATAATACTGTAGCTCTATAGCTTTTAGTTTAGTATTTTTATGGGACTCCTGAGTGTGTAAATGAAGGTGGTCTCTGATTCTTGCACCTTCTCTCGAGGCTTTCTTAAATTTACTGTGGGCTTCTTTTGCCTAACTTTGATATGATGGCTTTTGCTTTATCTTATTTTGTTAAAAAAAAAAAAGAAACCAAAAAGAAACAGCAAACACTGGGATTATCCTAGTGATGGCAGTTCAGGCTTGTCACAAGGCTGCCTGCCTGCCCAGTGCCTGCTATGAGGTCTAAGTGATTGATAACTGTACATACACTCTCTTGTTGTCTTGCAGAGAACCTGAATTCAGTTTCCAAGGTCCACATGGCCACTCCCAACCACCTACAACTGCAGCACTAGGGGTCTGATGCCTTCTTTTCTTCAGCCTTCTCTCTCTCTCTGTCTCTGTCTCTGTCTCTGTCTCTCTCTGTCTCTCTCTCTCTCTGTGTGAAAAATATATATTTCATATATATGAAAATAAGTATTTAGAAATAAAAGATGTTTGCAGCCAGGATTGGTCTCTCAGGACTCCCTGGCCAGACTTAGATGACATTTCTGGCTATGTAACTGAAGACCCTGACTTTCTATTCTTCCTCAAAAGATTGTCAACTACTCCACAGCCTTTGGATATATCTCTTTTCTGTTTAAGTTGTCTGTGGTCTGTCTCTACTGCTTTTGTAAGTACAGTGTTGTAGAAAGAGAAAAACCCAAGAATACTGGGGAGCATGTTGCCTCCATTAGAGAGGGATGGG